AACAACAAATAGATTTCAGGGAGTCCATTATGTATTGTGAGCAGGGCTGGACATGGTGGCTCATGCCTGTAATCCCAGCACTTCAGGAGGCCGAGGTGGGCATATCACCTGAGGTCAGGAGTTCGAGACCAGCCTGGCCAACATGGCAAAACCCCATTTCTACTGAAAATACAAAAATTAGCCAGGTGTGGTGGCACATGCCTGTAATCCCAGCTACTCAAGAGGCTGAGGCAGGAGAATCACTTGAACCCAGGAGATGGAGGCTACAGTGAGCTGAGATGGCACCACTGCACTCTAGCCTTGGTGAAAGAGTGAGACTCTGCCTCAAAATAATAACTAAGTAAATAAATAAATAAAATTGTGAGCAAAATTGAGGCCTCCCTTTTATGGCTTCAATATGCAAGGAGTCTAAGATCTATTACTAAATGGTAAAGAAAAACAGTATAGAGTGTTATGTATGGTACCATTGCTATCATTTGCATAAAAATGGGCGAGATTTTATATTGCTGAGGAAACTCTGGCCTGATTTTAGGTCAAAGTGTCTGTCCCTTAGCTGGACAGGACACAGGCTCCTTTGGAGAACTGCCCCCCACCTCCTGCTAATCCCTTGGGACTGGGATCTCTGGGATTCCTATCCTCCCAGCCGGTTCTGATGTCAGTTCAATATTGCCAGACCACAGCTGGGCGTGGTGGCTCATGCCTGTAATCCCAGTATTTTGGGAGGCAAAGGTGGGCAGACCACTTGAGCCCAGGAGTTCTGCGCCAGCCTGGGCAACATGGTGAAACTCCATCTCTACAGAAAAAAAAAAAAAAAAAAAAAAAAAATAGTAGGCATTGTGGTGCACGCCTGTAGTCCCAACTACTTGGGACGTTGAGATAGGAGGATCACCTGAGTCCAGGAGATCGAGGCTGCGGTGAGCAGAGATCATGATACTGCATTCCAGCCTGGGCTACAGAGGAAGGCCCTGTATCAAAAACAAAATAATGCCAGACCATCCTTAAAGGCCCAAAGTCCCATGTCTCTCCCAACACCACAAGCACAAGGCCTGAATCCCCAGTCCCTGAAGTCTACCACATTCTCTCTGGCTTCAGATTTTGTCCCTTTTTATTTGTTCTGTCTTCTATATACAGAGAGATGAGACCCCATGCTCATTTCCCCTAGGAAGTCCTCCCTACTATCTATCTCTTTGCCAACTCCAGAGTCACAGACTTCTCCCCTTCCCATCCACTGAAACAGTCCCAAGGGGCAGGCATGGAACTTAGTGGTTACAACTCGGGCTCTGGAGCTCTACTCTCTGGGCCTGAATCCCAGCTACACTCCTGACAAGACTTTTAGTATCAGACAAGTGTATCGGGTAGGATTTCTTCAGGAAATAAAGAATTCTCTCAAATTGAATAATTTGAAGGTGTTTCATAACAGGGTTATACAAAGGAATGGGCAGGGTGTTGGTAAACCACAAGGGATAGTGCATTACCCCAGATCTAATAACAGTGGGCTTCGTTACTCCTGTAAGGGTCCAAGGCATAGGGAGAGAATGGTCCCTAGAATCCTCACAGGGGGCAGCTACGGAGGTAAATGCTCAACCTCACCCTCTCCGTCTCACCTCCTATGGATGCCACTCTCCAAACCCTACAGATGCCACTCTGCAAAGCCTTCAGCCTCCTGGCCCCACAGCAGAGTGGAGAAGGAACCTTGCTATGGCCCAATTCCCTCATCTGTAAAACAGCCTGTTGATCCTACCTTCTTTCTAGGTTGTCACAATGATAAAAGGGGACAGTGTCCATGAGGCACGGACGCTGTTGCAGTACACAGGAAGTGTGCTCGATGAACAGCTCCAACTGTCTATGGATTTTGGTGATTAATTGGCTTCTCAAATTTAGCCTGTCAAAACAGAAAGCTTGAATTTCCCCCTACTTCAAACTTATTTATTCTGTAGTCTCAGTTGGTGGCACTACCATCTACCCAACTGCTCAAGCCAGACTCCTTGATGCTAGAAGCCACCCTCTCCATGGCTGTTTTGCTGTTCCACTTTGCTGGCTCTTGTCCAAAATGCATCTCCAAGCCATCCCCCTCTCTTCATCTTCACTGCCAACATGCTAGATCACCTACCACCAAGATTCTTTCTAAGCCCGTAGTAGGTCTACCTGTGCCTACCATTTATTCTTTTTTTTTTTTTTTTTTTTTTGAGACGGAGTTTCGCTCTTGTTGCGCAGGCTGGAGTGCAATGGCGTGATCTTGGCTCACTGAAACCTCCGCCTTCCGGATTCAAGTGATTCTCCTGCCTCAGCCTCCTGAGTAGCTGGGATTACAGGTGCGCACCACCACACCCGGCTAATTTTTTGCATTTTTAGTAGAGACAGGGTTTCACCATGTTAGCCAGGCTGGTCTCAAACTACTGATCTCAGGTGATCCACCTGCCTTGGCATCCCAAAGTGCTGGGATTACAGGCATGAGCCACCACACCTGGCTACCATCTATTCTTTACCCAGCAACAGAAGGGACCTAAACCATCAGTTGGATCATGTCCATCCCCTGGGTAAACCCACCACATCACAAGATCCTGCTCAGGTCCCCTACCTTCACCATGGGCCATGACCCTGCACTCCAGGCACGCAACCTCATTGCAGCTCTTTGCCTCCTTGGCGCCAAGCTTTTTCTTCCTCAGAGCCTTGGCATATATTATTTCTGCCCCCCTGCCCCCGCCGTGGAAAACCCCTTCCTCCATTTGTTCCCACTGGTTCCTCCTCATCCTTCAAATTTCAGCTGCAAAATAATCACTTCAAAGAAGACTTCCTCAACCATCTCATCTTGTCTAAAATACATCCTCGAGGCCGAGCGTGGTGATGCGCACCTGTAATCCCAGCTACTCGGGAAGCTGAGGCATAAGAATCGCTTGAACCCCGGAGGCAGAGGTTGCAGTGAGCTGAGATCGTGCCACTGCACTCCAGCCTAGGTGACAAGAGCAAAACTCTGCTTCCAAAATAAATAAATTAAATAAAATACACCCTCTCTCTTCTCCCACTGCCTTCTGTGTTCCAGCACCCTGATCGATTACTTAGTAGCACTTGCAAGGTTTGTAGTTCCATATTTATTTCTCTGATACTTGTTCATAGTCTGTCTCCCCGCTATACTGTAAATCTCACAGAGGGCAAAGGCCCTGTCTGTTTTGCTCACCAGTGTGTCCTTAGGGCCTGATATAGAGTACGTGCTCGATAAAGATTGGACAGTGGAGAATGGGCAAATGGTAACTAATGAATGCTATGATGATGATGCCATCAAAGCCCTTCCAGAGAATCCCACCAGTTAGTATCAGCTGAACCCACAGCTGGCATCAGGGCAGCTCTCGCAAAGGATGCCCCCAAACCATCCCAAGATAAGGCTGGTTGGGATTCCAGTGAGTGAAGTGCTAAATGCCAGGGCAAGCAGGCCAAAGCAGACATTAAGGGAACTTACCTACAGAACAGCTGCTGCACATCCTTGCTGTGGACAATGGGTGTTCTACCCAGGTATGTTCTCAAGGAGGGGTTCAGGATATGGTGTTTATGGGAGTGTTTAAGAAATTTGAGGCCAGTACTATGGCTCACACTTGTAATCCTGGCACTTTGGGAGACCAAGGTAGGAGGACCACTTGAGCATAGGTGTTCAAGACCAACCTGGGCAACAGAGTGACACCAGTCTCTACAAAAATAAAAAGTCAACACCTGTGGAAAGAAAGGAAAAAAAATATTTGTAATAAATACAAATTTAAAAAGTTGCCAGGCATGGTGGTGCATACCCGTAGTACCGGCTACTTGGGAGGCTGAGGCGGGAGGATCGTTTGAGCCCAGGAGGTCAAGGCTACAGTGAGCCATGATCACACCAGTGCACTCCAGCCAGGGTGACAGAGTAAGACCCTTTAAAAAAAAAAAAAAGAAGAAGAAAGATAGGCTGGGCATGGTGGCTCACACCTGTAATCCCAGCAGTTTGAGAGGCTGAGGCTGGTGGATACTTGAGGCCAGGAGTTGGAGACCAGCCTGGCCAACATGGTGAAACTCCGTCTTTACAAAAAAAATACAAAAATTAGGTCAGGTGCAGTTTCTCACACCGGTAATCCCAGCACTTTGGGAGGCCGAGGCGGGTGGATCTCAAGGTCAAGAGTTCGAGACCAGCTTGACCAACATGGTGAAATCCCGTCTCTACTAAAAATACAAAAATTAGCCGGGTGTGGTGGCACATGCCTGTAATCCCAGCTACTCAGGAGACTGAGACAGGAGAATCACTTGAACCCAGGAGGCAGAGGTTGCAGTGAGCTGAGATTGCGCCACTGCACTCCAGCCGGGGGGACAGAGTGAGACTCTTGTCAAAAAAAAAAAAAAAAAAAAAAAGAAAAGAAAGAAGGAAGGAAGGAAGGGAGGAAAGAAAATTTCCCTGGGGGTAGGCGTCTATAAGTTTAGTAAAATAGTCGATCTTTCAGTGTTTCCAGCAACAACCTAATCAAGTTTATCAGTGTCTGGGAATGTTCAACGTACCATCTTGGGTTCAAACCTGTAGGCAAAAACATGCAGCTGGCCAGGTTACAGAGTGGTGAAGGCACTCTGCATTTCTTGGTTGAGACAGAGAAAAAAAGTGGGCAGAACTGGGTGTCCCTCCCCCCACCACACTATCACAGTGATCCCTTTTGCCTTTCTTCAGGCTCCAGCCCCACCCTATAGCCCCTGCTCCCTGGATTCACTAGGGCTAACTTCAGTAAAGTACAAAGAAAAGGGGGCCATACGAATGACCAAAAAATATATATGTATATCTATTCACGTGGATGACCAGATAGTATGAATGGATTGAAAATTTATCAGGAACAATGGATGAAAGGAAATGCCAGGAGATGAGGGCAGACAGCAGGCAGTTCTGGGGCAGGGACTCTGTAGGGACAGGGTGGCCTACTGGGTGTGCCCCTTTTCTCTTCTCTGGCTCCCTTAGATAAGACCGGCAGTTTTGTCATCCTCCCCCTCTCATTCCACGGCCCCGCAGCCCCAGGCCCACACTGAAAGTATGTCGATCCAGGAGAACATACCATCCCTGCAGCGCTGGTCATGGGTCTCTAAGTCCCAAAGAGACTTAGCGAAGTCCATCCTGATTGGGGCTCCAGGAGGTAAGAAGGGGAAGCAGGAGCCATGGAACATAGGAGGAAAATGAGGGTGGAAACTAGGAGCCAGGGTGGAGGGTATAAGTGATCCATATCAGCCACTGGCTAGGTGGGTTTTGGAGAGACACATACGTTCTTCAGAACCTCCCTTGTGTTAAATTACAGACCCTGGCATGGGCCTTTTCCAGGCCCTATAGGCAGGCCAGAGCCGCAACATGTAAGCCACGGGGCACTCCCGTGGTTCCTGGACTCTGGCCCCTGGCATACAGGGCTTCCAGTGGAATAGGAGACACTGGTGACACTTTAACCAGTCTACAGAACTGATCCTCAGCCCAGCTGGGTCTCATGCCTCTGACAACCCAACAGTGTGGAGCAGACCCACAAAGAGGGAGACCCAGAGAGGTGTGCAGTGGCATGGAAGGTGCGGCTGGAATGGGGGGGGCTCCTCTGAACTGGGCTGGGTCAAGCTACAGGGACCTCTGGGTCTGTAGCAGCTTTGAGAGGTCTGGGAGACTCAGAGGATGGGGTGGGGAAGCCAGCCAGTAGCCAGGGGTTAGAAGGGAGAAAACAGAGACCTTCAGAGCAGGAACTGGGTGATTGTGGGCCTGAATAGGGGCAGGCTGCTGGGGACTAGACATCAAGGGGTGGTGGGATTGAGGGGCATCAGTAGTTGCAGGTTGGGGGGTCCTGGGTTGTGCAGGGTCAGTATAACTGAGTGGTCAAGAACTTGGGCTAGAGTTAGTCAGACCTAGATTTGAATCCTAGCTGATCCATACTTAAAAGCTGTATGATCTTGGACCATTTATTCTCAGTCTCTGTTTCTTTATCCATAAAATTGGATAATTATAGAACATTTAACAGTACCTGCTTTATAGGATCCTTGTGACGTAATAAGATAATATATGCATGATGCCCAGCTCATAAGAAGGGAAGGAATAGAGGGTATGCTGAGAGATGACGGCATGGGGAGGAACGGCAGGTGACATGCAGTCCCTGTGTCCCCTTCTACCACAGGGCCAGCGGGGTATCTTCGGCGGGCTAGTGTGGCCCAACTGACCCAGGAGCTGGGCACTGCCTTCTTCCAGCAGCAGCAGCTGCCAGCTGCTATGGCAGACACCTTCCTGGAGCACCTCTGCCTACTGGACATTGACTCTGAGCCCGTGGCTGCTCGCAGTACCAGCATCATTGCCACCATCGGTAAACACTCCCATCCCCTGCAGCCTCACAGAGCCTACTGGTGTTTCTTGAGGTGCTTCTTCATCTCTTGTCTCCTTTGAGACTTCTCCATGTTTGACACAGTCATTCATTCAATGAAAATTTGTTGAGCATATAGTAGACAAGATTTTGGGCCCTGGGAGTAGATCAGCGAAAAAAACAGACAAAAATCCCTACCCTGGGGGAGCTGACAGTCTAGCTGGTGTGACAATAAACAGTAAGCACAATAAATTATTTAAAAAAAGTAAATTATTTATTCCGTTAGAAAGTGAGGCCGAGCGCAGTGGCTCATGCCTGTAATCCCAGCACTTTGGGAGGCCAAGGCGGGCAGATCACCTGAGGTCAGGAGTTTGAGACCAGCCTGACCAATATGGAGAAACCCTGTCTCTACCAAAAATACAAAGTAGCCAGGCATGGCGGCGCATACCTGCAATCCCAGCTACTCAGGAGGCTAAGGCAGGAGAATCGCTTGAACCCAGGAGGGGGAGGTTGTGGTGAGCCGAGATCGCACCATTGCACTCCAGCCTGGGCAACAAGAGAAAAACTCCATCTCAAAAATAAATAAATAAATAAATAAATAAATAAAAGTGGGCTGGGCTCAGTGGCTCATGCCTGTAATCCCAGCACTTTAGGAGGCCAAGGTTGGCAGATCGCTTGAGCCCAGGAGTTTGAGACCAGTCTGGGCAACATGGCAAAACCCATCTCTACAAAAAATACAAAAATTAGTTGGGTGTGGTGGTGCACGCCTGTAGTTACAGCTACTCAGGAGGCTGAGGTGGGAGGATCACTTAAGCCCAGGAGGTCAAGACTGCAGTAAGTCATGATCAAGCCACTGTACTCCAGCCTAGGTGACAGACGAGACCCTGTCAAAAAACAGAAAGAAAAGAAGCGAAGCGAAGGAAGGAGAGGAAGGAAGGAAGGAAGGAAGAAGGAAGGAAGGAAGGAAGAAGGAGAGGAAGAAGAAGGAAGAAAGGAAAGAAAAAGAAGTAAAAAGAAGAAAGAAAGAAAGAAAAAAAAGGAAGAAAGAAAAAGAAAGAAAGAAAGAAAAGTTAGTTAGTTGCCGG